CATATATATACAGGGTTTCCATAAAGTTCGTGTGCACTTTTTAAAATTTACAACTTTATTTGTATTTGCAATAGAAATAATCTGTAAGTAAAATGTTATAAATTTTAATGTACTTAGTTTTAAGTATAGCTAAAATGACTAATGTGATTTCAGGCATCACTGTAAATCGGTTGGCAAATCATTGAAACATACATATATATATATATATATATATATATATATATATATATATAAATGACAATTGAAGTCAACACTAAGAGGCGACAGGCTGTTTCATGCTAGATGAAATCGTTAGCATGACTCAGTCTGTCGCCTCTGAGTGTTTTCTTCAGTTGTCACTTTTATATTTACATTCACTCTATCTCTGATATTGAGCACATTATCACATAACTATAGCACATCTTAAAACTATATTTCTTCACACACACATGTATATGTGTATGTGTGTGTATGTGTGTTTGTGTTTGTGTGTTGCAAAATATATTCGTTTAATTTCTATTTTACTTTTCGACAAATAATTTTCAAAAATGGTTGCGTCCACCGGCCATTGCGTACGTGGTTTGTCTTCAAGAATTGTCTTACTTCAACAACCCAACGTCTAATCCTCGTCATAAGACGAGCAGTTCTCACGGGAAAGATTTTACATGTGATCATGGATTTCTTGGGACACAATCCGTTCCAGAATAATAATAAAAAAACAAACAGTATCTCTGGTTTTCATTTTCTCATTTAGTATCTGGTTCTGCAAATTGTATCGCTTCTTAAATATAAATAAGAAAATATCAAGATCAATAAAAGAAAAGAAAATTTATTGAAAATCTCTCTCTCTCTCTATCTCTCTCTCTCTCTCTCTCTCTCTATATATATATATATATATATATATATATATATATATATATATATATATCTGATGCAATGAGAACGAAAATAATATATAAATTCTAACGTTCACAACATTAATTCAAAAGAGGGCTCGATACCGATAGTAGAGCGATAAATATTCATTATAATTTTATTATATAGACAAAAACTGTTTACTCGCTACAAAGATGCAATTTCGTTTCGGTGCATGCATTTCACTTGCACTTCGACTAGTGAGAACCAAAATGGCATAACCATAACCAGTCGAATTGCAATTGAAATGCACTGAAACGAAGTTTCATCTTCGTAGTGAGTAAACTGTTTTGTCTATATGAAAAAATATATATATATATATATATATATATATATATATATATATATATATATACATATATTATATTTTATATATATATATATATATATATATATATATATATATAGAGAGAGAGAGAGAGAGAGAGAGAGAGAGAGAGAGAGAGAGAGTCAACTGTATGTATATCTAAGTCAGTGGAGAATTAAGGTAATGGTCATGAGGAGACCGATCCTGTCTTGTTTCTTTTGTTTAGGACTAATTTCTTATGATTATTTATGGCTATAATTTTTATACTGATTATTTATGTTAGTTAGGTGGTTGAAAGAAGAATTTTATGAATTCCCATCTTTGTTTTTAGATCATAACATAGCAACGAATAAGCTGGGATTTGCGTTTTTTTTTTTTTTCATCAACACTCCATATCTAGGTAGATTGACAACTAGGTCTAAAGTTCTTCAATAGCCCACTTACAAGCGTCGACGGTTTTCAAACTGTTTTTAACTCACAGGGATTGGGTCAACACATGGTATGTTTTTTTTTTTTTTTTTTTTTTTTTTCGGTTCTTTTCAACGGTGACACGGGCTGGGATCGACTCCTGAGAACAAAATTTTCAAGAAGTCATCTCCTTGATTTATTGAACAGATCTGATATTTTCAAAACCAGAAGACTAAGGCTTGAAGTGTTCAACCCAACAATTATCATCATTATGAAAATACTCCCCAATTTCTTCTGCAGTTTAAACAAATTTTCTCCAATTTAATTTACATAATTATTTTCTCTGATTTTAAAATAAAATTTGATCTGATTTTAAATCATACGAGACATACTTAAAATTTAATATCAGCGAAATGTGTATTAAGACTATATACATACTGATATCTACAAATAATAAAATCAACCTTCGTTGTCTATATTCTATGAACGATCCCCACAGTAAACAGAGTCGGACGGAAATTTATCAAAACTCTCCTTTTTGATTTTCAGTTTAGTCTCCTGCTAGATTTCTTCTTATAATTGGGCTATTTTGAGGCCTTTTGAACTCTTTGGTGCGATTCGCAGAACCATAATTCCTAGCTCTCTTCCTTCCGGTCTGTACAAAGATCTGATGTTATCTTTTGCAGTGACGGTCAGTAATGACTGGTTTTGACAATATTTCATTTCTCGAAACGTGAATCTCTGTCCTCTCAAAGTTTGAGCGTTGAGAGATGATGTCACCCCGCGGCTTTTATTTTCTTCTTGTTCGTTTGGAAAAGACCAACACAATCGCAGCCAAGCTTTTCGCTTCCCTTTCCTATGTGTGCAGAGAGACAAAGCCCTATATATATA